TTGGAAGTGGCAATCAACTGTGCTGTACTTTCTTTACTCAAATTGAGTCGCCATCTCTACACCCATGTTCACAGCAGCCAAAAGGTGGAAGCAACTCAAATGTCCATCAGCGGGTGAATGAATAAACAAAATGTGGTACAGACATACGATGGAGTATTATTCAGCCTTAATTAAAAAGGAAGGAAATCCTGACACACGCTACAGCATGCATGAACCTTGAGGACATTCCGCTAAGTGAACTAAGCAGTCACAGAATGACAAATACTGTACGATTCCACTTGCATGCGTTGTCATAGAGTCAAATTCACAGAAACAGAAAGTTGAAATGTGGTTGTCAGGGGTTGGAGTGGAGGACAGGGAGCTGTTTAATGGGGACAGAGTTTCAGTTCTGCAAGATGAAAAAGTTCTGGAGATAGGTTGCACAACAATGTGAATATACTCAACACCATGGAACTACACGCTTAATGGTTAAGGTGGTAAATTTACATTATGTGTATTTTTCCACAATTAAAAAAAAAAAACAAACCATGCCAGTCATAAGGTCTTGATCACATTCAAAGGATGGGATTATACCAGGGTGTGAACTTCACCCAGGGGGTAAGGATCATTGCAGGATGCCTACCCCATTCGGTCATTTATCCAAAGTTGAAAAGAATCAATCTGTTTAATTAGGATTGAATCCAACATATCTGAAGCTACCTGAGTGCTGGCCACACCCTACATCTTCCCAGCAGTACCTGCTGACTCCCAGATGTGCTCCTAAGAAAGAGAAAAGCCACATGCAAGCCTGCTTTTGGAACTGCCTGGTAAATAGGCCATGTTTCCAATCAATGAATCCCCAATTAAAAATCCATTGCACCACAGTGTTCTTTGGTCTCTATTACATCCCGAATGGAACAGAAAGGTATGGTAATGAATGGTTGCACTTTCACGGTCCACTCCCACTTCCAAGTCCTGACAGTCTGTTGTTAGTTTTAAAGGCCAAGGATAAAGAAGGGGACTAAATCGGGATGAGCAAGAAGGGGAGGAGAGGTGCACACAGCTGGTGTCTTTAAAGTGGAGACACTGCTTTTTCATACCCTCATCAAGTCAGAAGAAAAGTATTTCAAGCACCCTATTTCCTGTCTTCGGGCCAGTTCTCTCCACTCCATCCAAATAAACATTATAAAATACAATTTTCTTTTCCCACATCAATCGAAAGCAAAGACACATTTTTCAAGGGCTGGGAGCCCAGCAGAAGCAGATAGGATATTTTCTGACTAAATGAGCTCATGTGCAGAAGGTGCTCAGCACCGTGTTTGGTGCATACTAAGACTAGATCAATGTTTGCTGTTAATAGGATGACCAATGGGCCAAACCCTGTGCTGTATAAGACCATATTTTGTCTAGTCAACATGCCTCTGAAATTCTTCAGGAAGACACTGCATGAAGCTCAGTCTCTTGAAAGCCCAGTACGAGTCAGGTTTGCGCCCAGCACTGGTACAATGATATTCCTTTGTTCAAGCACCAAAATTAGGAGCCAGTTCACATTTAGAAGCTACATGATAGAGAAAAGCATAGCCTTTGGTACTAGAATCACACGGAGAGCAGGAGGATGCTCACATCCTAGGAGGAATGCAGCTGTAGACCGGCCAAGGGGCCAGCAGGTCCAGATTCTCATCTCATGCTCACTGTGGGGCATATTCCCATTGGGGGAATGACAGAATCATCTACTCTATTTAAACAACAGTAAAACACTTATTAATAGATTGTGTATACTTGAACTTGCAAAGCTTAAACACATATACACTGTAATACGACAAATTAAACACAGCTTCCTGGGGCTCCTGGCTGGCTCAGGGGGTTAAGCGCCTGACTCTTGATTTCAGCTCAGGTCACGATCTCAGAGTAGGGAGATCCAGCCCCACGTCAGGCTCTGCACTGAGCGTGGAGTCAGCTTGAGATTCTCTCTCCCTCTCCCTCTGCCCCTCCCCCCTGCTCACGCTCGCACACTCGCTTGCTCCCCCTCGCACACTCGCTTGCTCCCCCTCTCTTTCTCAAAAAATCAATAAATAAACACAGCTTCATAACATAACACCCTACAAAGACATCTTTTCTAGTATACAGCACTTACTGAATCCACTCTGTGCTGGGCTCCATGCTACTAGGTAGGATCTGTGGGATTCGAGGGGGGGAAAAGGCACGCTTCCTGTTCTTTGGTAACTAGCATCAGTGCCTCTCCACAACGGGCACCCTTGCTCGGAGGCTGTCTTACTAAAAGGCACCAGACAGCTGTCTCCCACGTCCCGACGGGACTTGTTTTCTGAGAGCTCACTTTCCACAGGGCTGTCATTTGGGTACAGAAGGCACAAAGCTGAGATTCTAAGGGAAGCTTCACATCATGTATTTGCCAAGAGCTGGGCTTCGTGTGCATGTGTCCACCTCTGACTTACTCTACACCTCGTGTTTATAATACAAGAATGCAATGCAGAGAGAGAGAGAAAGGAGCTGGACTTAAAAATACAAACTTCAACCAGCCATCAGAGAGATGGTTCTTAAGGGTGAGCAAAAAATCTGCTTCAGCAAAATGCAGGGACAAGCATGTGGAGGGTAGGGGGATGCTGCCAAAACCAAGTTTTAGACTTAGGGGTCGTTTTGCTGAACATCTCACGGCACCATTGGTGAGTCTAAGATACATGAACACATAGTAAACTATGTAAGAAATAGTATTTACAGAAAATGTTCCTCCAGCCCTCCTATCTATGCTCATACTTCCTTGACTTAGTGATTGTTCTTCCCTACTTGATATCCATCACAGCTGATGGCAGATGCCATAGGAGACAGACTGGCATATGTTTTGGTTTATAAAAATTTGACTTTGTGTGAAGGCTAGAAGCACCTTACTATTCGATCAGCAGTTTAGAAATTCCCAGGCAAGGGGTGCCTGGGTGGCTCAGCTGGTTAAGGGTCTGACTCTTGGTTTCAGCTCAGGCCATGACATCAGGGTGGTGAGATCGAGCCCTGCATCAGACTTTGTGCTGAGCATGGAGCCTGCTTGGGACTCCCTCTCTCCTTCTCCCTCTGCCCCTCCCCACTTGTGAATTCTCATCTCTCTCTTAAAAAAAAGAAAGTGGCTCCTGGGTGGCTCAGTCAGTTAAGCATCTGACTCTTGATTTTGGCTTAGGTCATGGTCTCAGGGTCGTGAGATCAGGCCCTGCATCAGGTTCCACACTGAGTGTGGAGTCTGCTTGAGATTCTCTCTCACCCACTCCTTCTACCCCCACACCTGCTCACTTGTGCATGCTCTCTAAAAAAGCAAAAAAAAAGAACGAAAGAAAATAAATTCCCAGGCAAATTACAGGATTAGAAACCTCTCTAAAGTTAGTATAAAACAGTGGTTCTCAGAATTACCATGTATTTGAACCACTTGGAGGACTCGTTAAAACACAGACTGCTGGGTTTACTTCCTGGGTTGATTCTGTTCGTCTGGGATGCAGCCTGAGCTCTGTGTTTCCAAAGAGCTCCTACATGATGCTGGTGATACTGGTCTCGGGATGATACTTTGAGAATCACTAGTAAAGGGAAAACTCAAGGAGAGGATTTTCCAGACGAGGACAATCAGAAGTTAATTCTACCCAAGATTCACCTCCCAGAGCTGTTCTCTGCACAAGTTTTGGCAAAATCTATGTTGATAAACATTTTATCTTTTCTTGTCTATGGACCTCAGGCATATAGACTTGGACTGGTCATAATCTCTGATGTGTGACCTACCCTCACCAGTGGCCTACGTAAGACCCATTCATTCATTCATTTATTTATTTTTAATAACATAATAAACATCAGCAAAAATAAAGGCTAGGACTTTGAAAAGGACCTACTTGTAATTTCACGGAGCTTATTCCATCCATCCTGCCTCCCAACATATGAGCTAAACAATTAGCCCCCTTCCTCTTGCTTTTCTGGTTTATAATTTTATTCAATCTATAAACTGTGGTACACACACAGAAGGATACCGAATAACAGTCCAAACAAATGAACTCTACCAACAAACAATAATGTGGGTGAATCACAGCAATAGGATATTAAGTGAAAAGAGTAGTGACTGCATACAGATCATATCAGTTTACAACATTAGAAATATATACTTTTTACAATGCCTTAATATGGATATACATTTTTAAATCTTTATATATTTTTTTAATCACTGAAAAAATACGTGTTTACCAGAAAAAAAGTCAATGAGTAAAGAAAAGTGCCTGGTCAGTTTTAACAGAGGAGGGTACAACCCCGCTGTATCCTTCTGGACTCCCTAAAAAGCTCACCTTCCCATCCCCCCAACTGCATCCCTTCAGATTCCATAAAATTGCTCTGAGATCAAGAGTCCTGATAGGAGCAGGCAATTCACACAAGAGGGAACAAAGTAGTAAACAAACACACGGGGGAAAATGTTGACTCTGCTCATAATCAGAGAAATACAAATTAAAGCATTTGGGAAGCTATCAATGACTACTAAATTAGCAAAAATGGAAAAAATAGAACAGCAGTGAATGCCCAGGATATGAAGGTGAAACTGACAGGCACAGACGAGGCCAGCACCCCTGTAAAGAAAAGAAAAAACTGTTTCCAACAGCTGCATGTGGAGGTGTAAGCCATGAACTGCACGGATGTCCCACTGTGCAGAATTTATCCTGAAGAAGTAATGCAAGGGAAGGAAACAATCCAGGTGGGCCTCAACAATGCAACAATTTAGAAAACCACGGTAGAGCATCCTGACCAAACGCAACCCAGCCGGGGCGAATTACGGTTTTGAAGAGAAAACATATACGTGATACTTCATATGGGAGAAATACGAAATCCAAAATGGTAGGTGCGTTAGAGGTAAAAACAAGGGTAGAGGGGCTGCAAGGTAAAGTGCAAACATTAACATGGCTGTTGTATCTGGAGGGGGTATAGGTGTTGCTTTCCGTGTTTCTGTGGTGTGGTGATGCAATTACTTTTTTAAAGCTTTGGAGGCTTCCTACCTTGAGAGCTTTCACAGCTCTCCTCGTCGCTGTTGTCTTGACAGTTATTTTGCCCATCGCAAATGAAGCTCTTGTCAATGCAGAGGCCATTCTTACAGTGGTAGCGGGCGGTGGAACAAAGCAGAGGGTTCGCCGCTGTGAAGGGAAAACAGAGCAGGTCACCAGGGAGGCCAGCAAGTCCCATGCAGAACTCCCGGAACCAGGAGTGTGTCCTGCTCAGGAAGCAGGGAGCTCACGGGAACCCCGAGAACCTTTTCCAGCCACAGTGTGTCCTGCTCAGGAAGAAGTGAGCTCACAGGAACCCCGAGAACTTTCTCCAGCCAGAAGCGTGTCCTGCTCAAGAAGCAGTGAGCTCACGGGAACCCCGAGAACCTTCTCTAGCCACACAGTGTGTCCTGCTCAGGAAGCAGTGAGCTCACGGGAACCCCGAGAATTTTCTCCAGCCAGAAGCGTGTCCTGCTCAAGAAGCAGTGAGCTTACAGGAACCCTGAGAACTTTCTCCAGCCACAGTGTGTCCTGCTCAGGAAGCAGTGAGCTCACGGGAACCCCGAGAACTTTCTCCGGCCAGAAGTGTGTCCTGCTCAGGAAGCAGTGAGCTCAGGGGAACCCCGAGAACCTTCTCCAGCCACAGTGTGTTCTGCTCAGGAAGCAGTGAGCTCATAAGAACCCCAAGAACCTTCTCCAGACAGAAGTGTG